GCGCAGAACCCAGAAACTAGACGCAATCTCCTCTAAAATGACCGACATGTTCATGACAGAGAATTCCTTCGCTGACCAGAATGATTTAGCGAAATTAAGACGATTGGTCGAGCTATCTGAGTCTGATGATTTCGGGGAGGAAGCAGTAGAAAAACCCTAGAAATGGGTTGTGGTGAAGAGACACCTGTTCAAAATTTATGAACTTGTCAAAACCGTCATAGGAGACGAACCAATTGCACCCAGTAGTGGTGCCAAGGGTGATGAATTCGTCTCACTACTTGGTAACGTTCTAAAACAGGCGCAAGCATTGAACTAATGGCAGCTGGCAAACATTCAGAAGCAATAGCGAACCTCCGAGAGCTATACGAGTCATTCAAAACAAAATATGGAGAAGCACACAATTCACACTTTCTACTAGGTCCGCCTTGTCGGATAGTCTGTGGGAAGCTGGAAATAAAGAAGAGGCACTGCAAATTAAGAGGGAAGTTGTCGCAGTTGAGAAAAGGCTAGGGGTCTAGACCACCCTATGACTCTCCGCAATATTCAACTACTTGCCGAATGGGAGGCAGCGATGGCCACGACAAATATGAACCAGCACCCCGTTCCATAGTTGATTAAATGTCGGCCTAACTATAGACAAATTCAATTATTATATTGATTTGTGCAACTAAGAATCAAATTTTGAATCATTGATGTACATACATATGTATGTATCCATTTTAGAATGCGTAAGAAATAAATGATGTGTTATGCGCTAATTTTTGTAAAGGCTTTTCTAAATCAATTGAGTTAAAAATATCTGAATTTGTTAATTGGTCTGAAAATATATTGATGAACGGTGTCAAATTTTTTTCAAGGTTTCCATCTAATTTGCCGTCAGTCACATTTAGACAAACTTTTGCTGCTTGAATACGCACTTTAAGTACTTCCGCATACCTTTCATCGGAAATTTCGTTTGATGTCGGTGTAGCCAACATTGTTTCGAACATGTCTATGGCACCCTGATATTTTCCATTTTCGTTCAAAGCCCATCCAATATAAAACTGTAGTTGTCGAGCGGGTATGCTTTCTTTCCCAAGCAGAATAGATAGCAAATCGTAATTTGTTTTTGCAAATGCCACCAACTCAGTGACCATGGGTAGTTCCTTCATACGAGAAAAGATTTGGTGGGCCATGTTTGGCTTGGTAAAAACCGCTCTCTTTTTATCATGAGTTACTATAGAATCCCAAATGCTCATAACGTGTTGCAACTCTGGTGCTGTTGTTTTTCGAGTTCCACTATTGGGATTAGAACATAACCTGCAGCATATTCTGAGTCAATTTTCGCTATTTTTTGAACCATTCTATGAACGGATACCTCCTCGTAATCCAAGTTGATTAGAGAAAACTCTTGGAGTCTGAATAACCCGGCGTTAAAATATTTCAATCTTATATACTTGTCGTCTTCTGCTAGTTGGTCGACCTTCTGTAAAATTTTCACCAATTTCATAGGCCGTCCAAGCATCCCTAGGACATATTGGTCAACCAATTTGTTCAGATATTCAACCATAATTCCATCTGGCCTGACCAGACATAACACATCCATTATTTTCTGACTCATTTCTCCCTGTTGTCCATCCGCCTCTCGGATAAATTTCATTGTTTTGTTCACAACGAGGTAGATTGTTTCGTCGTACTTTGACAACTTCAATTTGTACTTAACAAGCTCTGCTTTATCCTGGTTAAATTCGGTAATATAGTCGGAAATCTTGTACCCTTTTCCTGCGGTGGAACAATTTTGTTGAGCACGAATATAAGCGACGGCCTGTGCACATGCTAAGGCATGATTTCCCAACAATTTACAAAGTAGCTGGACATCGGCATGGTCGACATTTTTAAGTGCATTGTGCACCAGTTTATAAGCATCTTCATCGGACAAGGATTGTAACTTGAGTTGCTCCGTTTCTCCATGGAGGAGATTAGCACGTCGGGTCGTGATGAGCACGGATGCTGATGAATCGGTAAATTCTTCGATGACTTCAGGAAATCCGTCGTACTCAGAATCAACGTTATCAATGACAACAAGCCAAGGGAATTTTCTGGGCAATAATTTGGCAGAAATATTATTTATAAGTTTGTCGACTGGGTAAGGTTTTCCAGAGCTATCTTTCACTTGCAAGCCTAGTTGTTCCGTGTATTGAGAGATGGAGGCGACGAGTTGATCATATGTGTCACCTTGGAACCAAGTTACAATTTGGGACGGATTTTCGTCTTGGATTTGTTCTACAAATTTTTTGCAAAGTTGAGTCTTGCCTTGACCACCCATGGCGCTGGTTACTACACAGGTTCTTTTCTCCTTGAAGTATTCCTTAACCTGCACAAGTTCGTTTTCTCGTCCTACGAATGTTCTAATTGGTGGGGTAATGTTAAATGATTTGTCTGCTTGGGATATATCGGTGGAGTTAGATGGTTGTTGCCTTGTGGGAGCTACGATTAAAGTAGTAGGATCACCAAGTTTAAGAATATTATCTGCAAGGTACACAAATAAAATCATTTCAGGCTACCCGGTCAAGGATTTTTCACGGAGCGTGACATCGCCCCAACCCAATCGATGGATGTCAAAACGTCATAAACATTAATATATTTTAGCAAAATTTTAGGTAAAACAAATTTTATATCAAATTTCTGATTTGAGTACTTGGTCGAATCCGGGCATGCTCTATCCGGTTATTTGCATTTATTACGCTAATGTCAAAAAACTGTTTGTCATGATATTAGAGAACGTTGTTACGGTAAAGAAGGGTGCTTGGGTTATCAGAGCCCAATAATGTCACCCCTATCTGACACCTGGTAAAACCGGATGAGCTGCAGCCTTAAAAACATTGCGTTATGAAGCTTACGAGGGGAAATTAATTTGTGACGTGTTACTAAATGTGCCCACATTTCAGGTAATCGTAACTTTCAAATTTGAAACGCACATACTGGAATTTTTCTGTGCTCAATCTACTAATTAAGTAAAAATTCATTGAAAAAAACCTACAGTGCAGACTCCATATAGCCCGAGTCAGGGACATAGTCCCTGAATCAATAAGTCAGAGCCCACTTCTAATTTTTTTCCGACCGACATAATATCACCAACTTCCGTGTTGTGGATGGTTAAAAGTTTGTTAGATAGTTTCTACTATTTGGTACCAAATTTTTGAATTAGTCACAAATTATGTGCCTTGACCACCATGACCAGTGGGCTTCTTTAACATCGTGAAGTTCTAAGCTGTATGCATGTACTATCCAACAGTGGTTTTCACTTTTTCAGCCTCCATATCAAATTTCAGCTCAATATAACGATTTTGAAAAATCAGTATGGGTCACCCGATAGGGTCACTCTGGTTGCACTTTGCTCACTTTTAACTTCATATTCTTTAATTAGAAGCCATTAATTATCATTGTGCCGGATTCCATCTTTTTAAAGCAATTTCTAAAAATCGGTATGGGTCACCCCATAGGGTCGCTCCTGATAACAATTTTACCAATATCATATCATATTCTTTCATTAAACCCCATAAGCAACCTCTCCACCAAATTTCAGTTCGATATGATGGTTTTTAAAAATCGGTATGGGTCACCCCATAGGGTCGCTCAAGATGAAAATTTTTCCAACTTGAAGTCATTTTTATCTAGTAGGAGCCATTAGCAACCTCTGTGCCAAATTTCAGCTTTCTACGACAATTTTTAAATTTTGGTGCATAAGACCCCACCTACTCCGATGACCCCCACCGGTCAATCACTGGACCGATTTCGCCCATCTTCGAACTCGTTTCCTAATTTTGTCCAATATGCATGTGGTAAAAATTTCAAGTCAATCGGTTCAGCCGTTTTGGCTCTATCGTGCCGGACAGACAGACGGACAGACAGACAGACGGACGGACATGACGGTTCCATAAGCCCTGACTCGGGCTAAAAATCAACCAAAATCAGGGTTTTTCAAAACTTTTTAACTTTTCTAATCTTAAACCGAAGTCAAAAATTATACGGCGTACATACGTACATATTTGCTCAAAATTACATACTTATGAAGATTCTGCGAAGATTCTGCTGATTCAAATTTCGATATTTCTATTGAAAGATCGATACTTCAATATTTGAATATCGAAATCGAAATCCTCTAATAGTGATACATATTATATTTAATTTGCGAATAAACTTACCTGCCGCGTTGACAAACTCTGCTCCTTTAAGAATGTCACAAAGTTTAAAAATCGTTGCATTCCCCTTTTCTGCGTTCACCCAGTATTGCAATATTTCGTAGAAAAGCTCACATGTTTTCGCAGCTGCATTTTTGTATCGATTGGTTAGTTGAATATATTCAGGATACCGTACGTCCAGAGCATCATAAAATCTTCCGTAATCGGAAATAATAGTGCTGTCTTGAAGTAGTTGATTAACCACATGGCCAAGTTTGACCGTTGCCATGCTGGGCAACTAAGGACGCTCCAAAGACGCTTCAAATCGAGGGACACGAGGGCAGTATAGTCTTGTTTCAGGACCGGTTTCAGAAAACTGAAAACATGAATAATTCATGTTTATAATTTTGAGGAAAATTAGCCCGTAAATTTTAATAAGCTAACTTACAAATATCGTTTCTTAATTTAAGGTGTTGACGTATTTCTTAATCGTAAACTATTGAAAATAATGGTATCTCTTGAGACAAAAGTCAACCCTCAATTCAATATTAAGCAAAGTAGACGTACTAACTAAATCCCGCTTAAATTTAACTCTTTATCCAGTAACCGTTGCTCTGGATTTAGTAGAGTTTAGCTAATAAAAAATTATGGTACATTTACTTTTTCGGACAAGGTTGTAGTATTCTTTAAACTGAATATTTGAATTTAGATAGGTCAGAGTTTGTTATAACATTTGAACGAAATATACGCTTTAAGTTGGACTGTTGTTTAAGCTGTTTATAGTATCGACATAGCAGAACGAGTCCATTCCTGAGTTATACCAATGCCAACCTTACATAGTGTTTTGCATAGCAATGTAACCTCTACAAATTATATTTAGACTTAAATATATATATATATATATATATCTTACCAAATTTTATGAGTTCAAGTTTAATTTAGAGCGACGTACAGGAGTGACTCTGAACGTATTTGGTTTTATTTGGCAAATATGTATGTACGTTCGTCTGAGCATAACCAAAGTTAGACCCGCAGCTCCAGCTCTTGATACATAAGCCGCACAGATAAAAGTCCCGTGATAAAAGAATTTATTCCACATAAAGGGTGATCAGGAAAGAATGCCACACTTGTAAAATATGTTTACGTTAATACTAGGGTTGCCGCGGGTAGCGAAAATGCTACCCGTTACTCGACCCGCTACCCGCAGCACAACTACCCGTACCCGCACGGGTACCCGTGCGGGTACCCGTTGCCCGCTACCCGTTATGAGAATTGGGTTAAAAACTAGCCAAGCATGAGAATAAGTTTGATTTGATCAATTATTTGTTCATTTGGGTTGATATGTATTTTGAGATAATACTATGCAAGTAAGGCATGCTTTTTGGCTTACAATTGGATCGTTTTTCAAGCTATGTATGTGGGTATTCTTAGAGATTTATGATTCATCAAAAAATTAAACCAAAAAATAGGAATTACATCGAACTAATTTTCCCATTGAATGAACAGTTTAAAGGAAACTATTGCGGGGGCAGAGTTCAAAGTCGACCATGGACTTCGGAAAAACCACGACAGCGGGAAACCAGGAAAAAGATACAGAACATTTACTTAAAAATTAAACTTTACCGCCAATATTATTCGTCGAAGGGGCCATTCAAAGGAAAGATACATAAGTATCACGCGATTCCTAATTTTTGGCGTGACTTTTTGATATATGCTCGCTGGGTAATCTTGGTTTAGCTTTAAAAAGGTTCAATTTTTGTTTCTATTTTTTCAAATTTTGATTTAAATGAAGTTTTCATTCAAAAAAATTGTCTACAAATAAATTTTTTGTCTTCAATCGGATTAAGATTTTTTATCTTCAAAGCCCAAATTAAAATCTCGGCAGTCTTACATAAATAAATACACACAAATACAAGTAAAATTATTACTGATATTTTGAGCGGGCAAACCATGCTTGAGAAACAATATGTAATTGCTCCGCATTTTCTGGACGTGAAAAATATTTGAGGCCGGCATTGGCCTCTGTGCCTTCCGTAAAGACACGCACGTTATAAACGTTTTTTGCTGGCAAATGAAAAATTTTGAAATGGAAAAATAATAAATTGACGCTTTTGTTGGTAAATGGACTAACTTGCTGCTAACTTTCTTTGTGAACTGATTTATGTTGAAAATTAAATAAAAACTGAACTACCCGTTACCCGTGCGGGTAGTTCTCGCTACCCGCAGATAACGGGTACCCGCAAGAATCGTGCGGGTATGCGGGTAACGGGTACCCGACCCGTTACCCGCGGCAACCCTAGTTAATACAAGGAAGGCACGAGTTTCTCAATTAAGGTGGGTTACGTTTGTGGAAATTTCGAAATTTTATTTCAAAATTCTAGAGCTCTAGAGTAGCAAATTTGAGCAATTCCCGGGGTAGTAAGGGTTTTCAAATTTAAAATGAGTCGATAATATTTTACAACAGCACGTTATATGTACATATGTATGTACCTATGGTGTGAAAATTAAAAGAATAGTACGTTTTACTTATATACATACAAAGCTTGTGGCCGGCAGTACTCTTCTTTTACAAATCAAAACATTCATGCAGTGACCAAAGGTCTCGTTCATCTTACATAATTGAAAAAAAAATAAAACACTACAATTCCTCCACGGGTAACGATTTGTCTCCACATTATTTAGAGTGTAATTCTACGCAGTTGGCTGCATATGTATTTATTGTAGCGTATTTATTATAACCTATGACTTTATGCATGAATAAGAGAATTGAACTTATTGCGACGTGGTAGGATGACTGCGCATTATTGCAAAAATTGGATTAACAAATTTGCACTTGACTCTTGATAAGCTGTGGTGATAAGGTTTGTACATTTCGTATTCGTTCCAATGGAGTATGGTGTATGGAAATATGTATATTATGCTGTGATGCTGGTAAGGTTCAACGGCTTGGACAAATATGATAAATAACAATATTTCGCTCGTGTATTCATATTTGCAAAGATATTTATTTAATTAATCAGTAAATTTATTTCAGTTATGTACCTAGATTATAGAAAAGTTTTAATGTGGCACTTATATTTTAATAGTAAAAAAGAATTTTTACTTTAGCCAAAGTCGTACGATTTCCTGCTTTACAAAATCACAAAGTTACGTATTTCCAAAAATCGTAAAATATATATGTAGGTACCAGCATATTTAATTATGTACATAAGTTCTTGACGATGAGATTAATACAGCTAAATAAGGTAAAAAAATATAACATTTTGGAAAGCCAGGTACGCATAAAAATGTAAAACAATTTTTTTGTACGTAAGGTGCATGCTAATTGCCGCGAATAAAAATATTACACAGTCTGTATCCACATTTGCTTTAGGGGACAAGTCGCCAAAAACCACAGACAACGAACGTTTGAACCTTCGCTCATCAAGCAAGTAGAGTATAGTAAGATAACCTGCGAAATTTTGCAAACATTTGGCTAGAAAATATAGGAATTTTTTTACAATTTATACAACAAAGGAAGATATTTTTATTTGGTAATCTTATTTCACAATCTCATCCTTACCATCACGGGAAAATCCAATTACAGAACTCCACTCAAACAATAACAAAACAAGTTACTTTTAAGAGTAGATTTGCCAAGTCATATTTTGACTCAAGTCATAAATACATGAACTTTTTGAGCTTCGTAAATGTTCTAAATGAGTTGCGATTGTTGTGAGTACGCCAAATATGTAGTTATGTAGTTATGAAGAGATTGATAATTTTTACCGTGTCAAAAATATCTGACTCGCGATGCAAACTTCCAGTGGCGGCGGAAGCGTGGGGGCGGAGGAAGAATGTCCCCACGTTTGTTCGATGTCCCCTGTCCTGTCCAAGATATGTCAACCCTTCCCTCCCTGATCTGACTGACAATGTTAATTCCCCAGATGTCCCGACCACCTCCGCGGCCACTGCAAACATCCCTTTAAATAGTTCAACTACACAGTTGCCCACAAAGTCTTCAAATGCTGTTATTATTTAGAAAGGGTTCGCATTTGCACAATTCTCAATAGTTCGCATTATCACTCTTCTCGCCCAGAAGTGAAGATTTGTTCGCCTTTTTGTTAATTTTTGGAGGCATGCCAGCCTTAGTGGGCGTGGCGGTAGAGGTATTGCCCGGCCGTGGCATGTCGGGATGGAACTTCGAAGAGCGGTATGAGCGGAAGTCTGGAATTAAATAAGAATGTGTATATGACTCTTTCAGAAATCCAGTATTAAAATAAGACCAAGTGGTATTTACATATGTATGTACGACCCTGCCAAAATCTCAGAGCACACTACATAACTGTGGAGAGGTCTTACTCTCTCCGACCGCAACTGACAATTTAGGTCTCCCAACGTATGCTCACAGATTTGGACCAAATTAGTGTCAATCGATCACAAATACAATTACTATGAAATTTGCAAATCGAACTATCTGCCAATGCGCAGGTTTTGCAAAGATATTTGCATTTAAAAGAGTGAAAAACGCGCCCAAAGGCTGGCAAATTTTTATTTTCCAAATTTTCTGCCCATTTTTCCCGCTTTGGATGCAAATATCTTTGTAAAACCTGCGGATTGGCAGATAGTGCCATTTTCAAATTTCATACTAATTATATTTGTGATCGATTGACACTAATTTGGTCCAAATCTGTGTGCATACGTTGGGAGACCTCCATTGTCAGTCAGCAGGCTCTCAATCAGACTTGACGACCTCTCGCCCTCTCTCAACCTCTCTTCCCCAACCTATTCACCACACCCACAGTCATACTGCACCCGTGAACTCGCCGCCCTGCTAATTTCCTCCGTGGTATCAAACCACCAGCATTGGCTTGACAACCAAATATGTAGCATAGCAGTTAAGCTAAATACTGACACGGTGGAGTGGCATTAAACTTATAAGTCTGGATTTCGACGAACTTCATACCCACATATCTACTATATTTTCTATTGGATTTAAAAAATTGTGCGCTTAAAATGATCATCAAAGTTGGAATGTTAGGGAAAAGATACAATTTTTTAATGTTTGAGAAATCTGTATATAATTTAATCTGTCCAGGAATTCATAAGTTATGACTGTTTCAAAAATAAAAACATTCAAATTCGGGAAAATGTGTCGCCACACTACGAAGCCAAATATTCGCCTCCCACAGATATATTCTTCATATAGGACCATTCTAAATCCTAGAAAACTTTGTGGGTCTTCTAGACACGACAAGCAGCAGGGAACCTTCCCTTCTTAGAGTTTGTTTCCGTATAATTCTCTGTTAATGATACGTCTTAACGAATTTAAATCTATGATTTACCTTCAAAATCCGGCTTAATCTTTTTTGAACTACCCCATCCCAATGCAAGCCCTATAGGGGCAGGTTCAAACTTTTTGTTACACTTGGGACATTCCACGTGTGCAAGTTCTCCAGTAAAACTGGCCGCAGGTGAGCTGACTTTACACAGTGGACACACATACGGCAATTGCTTCGTAACCTCTGGTATGTGTGCTAGGAAAGTGTCCAACGCGTCGACCACTTTGTCCTTGTAGGCTTGAATTTCCTCCCTTTTTAAGTCTGACTTGAGGAAAAAGACGTCATAAAATTTGAGCCCAAGCACATCCTCATTTTCGAGCCGGAAGTAACCCCCATCCGCCCATCCGGTCCCCCATGAGTTCATGAAAACGAGTCCATCCGGCTCACATTTAACGAGAAGAACGGCGTGCCCGCCAACCGCGCTGTTATCGTGGTTTCCGATATCTTCAGACTTCAAAATCCCGGTTGGATTATTTTTAAAAAAATCTATAAAATCGTCCCATTGGTGTCTAACATCTACTTGGCTCTTAATCTTTTGAGAAAGGTAAAATGTTGCGACAACTGGTCTCCGCTGAGCAATTGCCGCCCTGGCTTGTTTCTCGCCGGCCAGAGCTTCACTGCGTAGCCGATAAATTTTGGCATATTTTGCAAGTACGTTAGCAGTATCGGCCCCACCACGCCCATATTCGGCAACTATTTGGTTCAAGATTTTGTCGAAATCGGGATAACCACCGCTCCTTCTATAAACTCGCCTCGTCGCTAGGTGCACTGCCGCAGCAACCGCGTTTGCATAACTTGTCCTCCCGACTTGAAGACTTGGTGTTAGTTTCGAAGAATTTATATACATGTCGAGTGACACACGGCTTAAAATGTTCAAGATGGCACTCCCTCGGGTAAACATGTGATTAAGAATGGCGGTAAATTCGTCCATGATTTTGGGATTTTTGGCCACGATGAAGAGACGACTCTTCCCTCGTGGCGACAACTCCCAGCCACGCTCGAGGAGAATGGAAAATGAGGGGTTGGCATTATCAACTGGGCTGCTCAGGGCGAAGAGCCATCGATGTACATACAACCAATATGGTTTCGGGTCGAAGTAAAGTTTTCTGGGGAATGGACTGTCGTCCCGTGTGAAAACAACGGTGAGGACTTGTATATTTCTGGAAGCGAGAGGTACCGCAAATTTTGTGGGATCTTCATCCATGGCCCATTCCTCGGTCACCAATGCCAGGACCTTTTCTTCGTGAGAGAATCGGTCAAATGTTTCAATCGCTATTTGTAAGGCGTCGCACATTCGGGGTATGTAGTAAATGTATGGATGAATAGCGTGCATGAGCTTTCTGAGGTGTTGCTTAGTTATCACGTTTGAATTAGGAGTTTCCCCCGGTGTGACAAATGACCGAATGAGTTGAGCCACGTATTGAAGACTTCTTGGTTGTGGGGTGGAGAAGAAGGACAGCGCTTTTTCTATTGCCAATTTTGCATTTTCTCTTGTTGCAGGTTCTTCCATATTTTCGACAGGGTCACTTCCAGATGGTCTAAAAACTGAGGTGGAATACCCATCTGTATTGGTTGCTGTGCTTGCCGAGCCATGTCTACATTGGGCTGGAAGCTCATTTGCAATAAGTTTCGCTTCCTTTGGTTTAGTTGCAAAAACTTTGCCTAAGAAACTAGCTTCATGTTTGTGTACATAGTTGAGAACATATTTTTCACAATATGGAGCACCGTTAGCTTTAAGGAGTTCTATCAAGGATTTTTTCGGATCAGGGGGGCGGTCTTGGTTGGGGTCAAGGAGTTCTAAAAGTTGGACGAGGTCGCAGCAGTTATTTCCCCTTATGCCGATAGCAAGGATGAAAATTTCGTCATTTTTTGTTCTGTTTTCATTTTCACAGATTTCGAGCACCTTCCGAATTATGTATTCGACTGGACTTGATTCTTCTTCTTCTTTTGAGCTGGTTTTTTGAACGTCTAGACTGAACCTCATTGTAAATGAGACGTCAAGTAGTAAAACCGGTTATTTGATTGGGGATGGTCTTTTAAAAATCGAGGGAGAAGGAAGAAAACATTAATGGGATATATTGTAGGTAATTTTCGGATAAGAGCACACTAGTATTTAATTTTTACAATTTGTGCTTGAAGTTAACATAAACAAATATGTACAAGTCTTGGGCTCTTGACGCAAGAACCGTAACAAAGTTATGGCTACTTGCGAGGTAATAAATAAGATATATAATTGTGTACTAAGATCAAAGAAGTGATTGTGTTATGTAGTCAATTAGCAAATGGCTCCAAAATTATAAAACTGGGTTTGGTAAGTTATTATGATGATATTCAAACTAAAATTGAGGGTAAAGGGTGATTTGCGGACGTAAGCCACCCGCCATAAGCCACTCAATAAAAGCCACTCCCCATAAGCCACACTAGGAAATAAGCCACCCCAGGAAAAAGCCACTCACCAAAAGCCACCTTCCATAAGCCACTGTAGGAAGTAAGCCACTTTTAGAAAAAGCTACTCTTGACATCTTCATCTTTATTAATAAACCAGGGGTTGGACTACGTTTAGTCCTTGTGTTTAGCACATAAGTTGGAAATTTAATATTTAAATTCTTGGGGACTCGATAGTGTAACCTACGAATAGAAATATGTTGTACGCAGCTAAAATATGGTATGACCTGAGACCTCGGAGCACCGAAATTGACGTAAATTTTCAAAAATTTTCAACCTCAGATAAAATTTGGGATGTGAGTGTACAGTTTGAGAAATCTGGAATAAGTCACAGATATTGATTTCTCGGTATTAAAATAAAATTACTACCTCTTGGTATTAAGAATTATCCCCGTCCGTAAAAATTTGATACCAATATATTAAAACTTTAATACCGAGCTATTATTACTGCACGGTATTATCTACTTACCAATACCACTTTAGTTGAGTTATATATTATATAAGACCGCTGGCATAATTTTAATACTATATTTCTAAGAGTGCTGTAGGGTACACATAAGTTGAAGATATTCAAGGAGAAGGACCTCAGCAGAATTCAACATCAATTTTAAATTTTAAAAGCACCGAAACTAATCGGAACGCTTATAACCCATTGCCCTCGTTCTCACATTCCTAAAATTTGTAATGTTAAACACAGCCTCTCGATTGTTTTTTTAAATCCGCGTTTTCTGTAACTGTTTGTACCAATAATATATCACGAAATTATATTACGGGTGTGACTTTCAGTGACTAATGCGATATTAAAAGGCCCCGCAAAGTTGTTTAAACTAGGTTTAATCAATGAAGATGTTAAGAGTAGCTTTTTCTAAAAGTGGCTTATTTCCTACAGTGGCTTATGGAAGGTGGCTTTTGGTGAGTGGCTTTTTCCTGGGGTGGCTATTTCCTAGTGTGGCTTATGGGGAGTGGCTTTTGTTGAGTGGCTTTTGGTGGGTGGCTTATGGTGGGTGGCTGGCCTCCGTATACCCGTATGGGTTTATCTCCAAAGTTACATATTTGTAAAAGGTGTTGACCTAATTCGACAACATTTTAGAATTTGCAGATTTCATTTTTCTAAATCGTACCAAGTAGAAACCTCAAGTTCATTTGGATTTATAATGACATATAAAAGAACTCACCATGCCAATTTGACGTTGAGATTTAATATCTTGCTTGCTGCTAACATGATTTCGGATCATCGACATTATTTCATGTTCCCCAGATAGTTTACCGTCTTTGGCTAATCCTAAAAATGTATTCAACATGGCGGGATTCCCAGCACAGAAATCAAAAATTTCATGGGGTAGGCGTTCCAGTTCAGTTCCACCAACAAATTTCCGTACTTGCTCAGTGTCGAATGGCTCAATTTGTATAACCAAATCGAAATCCCCCCGTTCTTTGTCATCCTCAGTTATTTATTACAATTAGTTTAAAGTAAAGCTCTTTCTGGAAGTTTTGACATAGTGTCCAGTATTCTCGTCCCACTTCGTGTGTACAGCTGAACCCGTCCAGAATCACGAGATCAGGTTGAGCCTTAAGGACGTTCATTACCAAGTCGTACGGTTCTTGTCCTTTCTCGAAATCCACCATCAATTCTAAGCATGCATCGTGCAAAGAGTCCGTAAAATTGTCGAAGTCTAGCCAAACAATGGTTTCACTAGGACTAACTGCGCCATCCTGTGAGCAGATTTGTAGCAGGCGTTTAACAAAATACGTTTTTCCGACACCAAATTTACCAAAAACTAGAAGACTTTGGTTATTATAAAATATTTCGGATGCTGCTCTGAGTTCTTCTGAGCGAGGAATGTGGCCTGATTCTGCAAGAAATTGGAACATTAACTGGTGTATAAACGAACAACAGAAAAGACAAAACCTCACCATCCTTGTCGACAAAGATAGGACATTCGATTGATATCGTGGTTAGAATTTTGTCTGGAAGTTAAGAAACAAGAATAAATAATAACTTCAATCTCCATTTTTTAACCTTTAAGAGAAGGAAATAAGGATTAGAAGGGCTTCGGATTAGATTTCTACTACTAATCCAATTAGGAAATTTATACCTAAGTAGCAAACATTATTTTGAAGGGAATATACACTTCATTTAATTCATCTTATTACCTTTACAATTCGACATCCCATTGTTCTCCAGTATTTTTAGCAAATCTGATACAGTTGAGTTTCTTTCATTTATGATAATCCAATAATGGATTACTTTTCCGATTCGTTTTTTGACATTTAGGATTTGAAAGAGTGAGGAAAACTCCGGACCAATGTCGAATATTTTGGATAAACGTGAACCATCGTGATCAGAATGAAAACTCTGCAAAAAAATATTATCCTGAATTGTTCTTTACTTATAATGCTATTTATTTCTTACCTCAGATAGTTCATCGACTATGGTTGGAATCACTTTTTTGAAACAGTTTCTTAACTTGAAGTTTTCCATGTCAACAAATTGAACCGTTGTAGTTTACATATCGTTTTGAACACAGTCACACAGTTTAATTAGTTAATTGTCATGCGTTATTTATTCACTTTCACTCATATTTTGCAAGTGCAATGTAATTGGTACTTGAATCGTCAAGTTTTTAGTTCTTATCAGGGTGATTACGTAAAAAATTATTCAACGTCAGTTTTATGTTAGTAGTTCTTAAATTTGCGATTTAAGATAGAAAAAGGTGCTCCATTTTGTGAGTAATACGCATTTGTATAAGCGCATACGAGAAGAAACCAGGACATAAGCTTTTATCAATTTTACAATTTACATTGCTGTTATCAATTGGACAATTGTCTCTCTGATAAGCACCACTGTCAGCATTAGCTGGTCATGCATACATACGTACATGCACTGGCTGAAATAGAAGTGAGTCGGGCCCCCGACTAGACTGGGTTGACCCGGACCCGACCCGACCCCAACAGAATTCGAGCGGGTCAGTCAGACCTCGCTAGTACCCAGTTCGGGTGATGACCATACCCCGGACAAATATTTTTTTATCCTACCCTACTCATGTTGAGCTCAACACGAGTAGGGTAGGATAAAAAAATATTTGTCCGGGGTATGGTGATGACCAACACAGAGTCGGGTTTGGGTGGGCCAGATTTCAATAAACCTTCGACCATACTCACCTCTAGTGTCAAATTAGGGCTTTAAGTTAGCCCACCAATATGCTCAATTCGCAATGAGAATTCACACTGCGATGTATTGCACGTCGCCACATACATATCTGAAATTTATTGATAACACGAATCCATAATAAATAAGAATTTGTCAAGCATGCGGATACCATGCCTAATATGCTAGTCAAGTATGCACAAATGATTGAACGTTAACCATGCTCAATTGTATGTATGAGTAATAAATATTACTGGTATGTACATTTGTATGTATAAGCTTACAAACTGAATATGTTTATGTACGTAAGCAAACCATAAGATAAGCTTTTATAACTAAAAAGCTTGTCTGATAACCACCCATTTACCAGATCTTTCTCATATTTCCATACGTTTCTGTGGAGTTGTCCAGGTTTTCATACGATCCGGGTTAGTGAACCGATCTTCGTGCCCCGTCCCGTTCGAGACGAAAAAGTTCAAACCCTTTTCTCAAAACTATTCACATAAATGGATAAATCGAAAGTATTTAGTTTTTGTAAATTTGTGTATTTCTTTTAACCACATTATGCTTGTCATTATATGTATGGCGAAGCGTTCGATTATGATGACTCTCGACTCGAAATTATCAAAAAATTTTAACTGTTCGCGATAAATAAAGCAGAAACTAAAATATCGACACCTTTTAAAATTAAATTAGACGTTTTGAAAATTTTTGGAAGGATTTTATTTTAAGTTTAAATTAAAAAAAAGTTAGACATCCCGTCCCGCAATTCGGAACAGAACCATGGACGGATTTACCCGATCCCCCGGTCCAGACATAGGAATCATGTACCGTTCCGTCTCGCCCTGTCCCGTAGGATACCCTAGTGTCCAGTTATGAAACATACCTGGTCCATTCCATCCATATACATATAATATCCCATCCATATACATAATTACATACATGCGTAAAGTAGCTAGCCAGTTCTGTGCATGATGTGCATGCATACTCAATCGGGTCTCATTCTATTCAACAGGTGATCTCGATGGATCGCAAAATTTGTGAAGCGACAAAACCTAAAATAGTTACCATTTTATCGGGAAACGAGATCATGGCAGAGGACTGGGGTCGATTTTCTGATCACCTCGGAATCTTATCTCATCATATTGTGGAACTGAAAAGGAAAGCAAAAAATTTGACGACATATGACTTGTTCTCTGCCATTATAGCGTACTTCATCTTCGCCAAAGGGAAGGAATTTATCGCAGCTTCTTCGCACCCTTGATGCCGTAGATTGTGCAGGTACGTTGTACAAGATGATTTAAATAATCAGGTACAATAGAAAAATTTGCAATAGGAAAAATTCGTAAAGCTCCCTTCGTTACCGAAATTTTACCTGTAAAATTAAAAATTTTGAAGAATTTTGTCACCAGTTTTGACAATTATTAATAAAAATTTCAATCCCAAATCTTGTTACCAATGGAGATTTATATGTAGGTTTTTGCCATTCAAGCATTTTCCATTCTAGCGTGACATTTAAACCACGCTGGTCTTCTGGGTGGCATTAGATATATAGGGGCCAAATTAGTACTTTGAAAATACTTTGTTTTTCAGAGAAAATCGAAGAACAAATTGGAAACGAAGATAATAACAATTGCAAATTATTGCCCGATGAAGACAGCACTTTGAGCCGCACGTTCAGCCGTTTCCACTCCTTTTTTCATCCACATATGAAACCTGTTTTCGTGACCAATTACTATCAGAAATTTGATAAGTATACTTTCCTAAAATTTCAGTACGAAAGGGTACTAAAATTGGCAGAGAATTATTGCCAAATATCCGAAAGGTATCCTAGGTTGGAGGAACGTGAAAAGGAGGAATTTCACACTTTACAAGAAAAATTGCGAGACAAATTGAAGAATGATAATAAACGGAAATTTGTCCTCGATATGTTTAAAGCCTGCGAGACAAGCTTGCAAGATACGAGGAAACAATGGGATGTGATAAATTTTCAAACTTTTTGTACTCACTTCGAGGAGGATGAGCATTCTATAACGGAAGAATGCTTAATCCGGGTCAAGATACTGTTGCTGACTTATGGACGAGATACATAAAACGTCATTACAAAAAAAATAATTTTTATGATTACACACCTTTCCGCCGGGATGACTAATTGATTTTATTTTTTTAAATTGTTACCTGTCAATGAACTATTGTCATCTTCATTCGGCAAGGATTAAAAGATTTCGGATATTAAAATCTAAATTATTCATTCATTTTCTAATTAAACTAATTTTTATTTTTAAACCAGTTAAAGCCAATCCATTTTATGATTTACTTACATACAAAGTACATACATACAAAGTTACATATTTAATTAAGTATCTGTGTCTATCTGTTATACATATATTAACATATATAACTACTTAAAATCTTGTAGATGCATGGAAATAAATAAAATTGGTAAGAATAATCGTACTACATTTGAGTGAGCTCTCCATGAAAATTAAACAAAAATATGACAACTTCTTGAGACCTGTATATAACAACAGAAGCATACCTGTTCACTTTCATTCCTTTGACTGATTATGATAGTGAGCGAAAATGAATTTCCTCAACCAGAAGCAAACATCTTGCTATATCATTTTGTGTATCCATACATAAGAAAATAAAATATATACATACATGTGGGTACACATTGTTATGTACCTAAATGGAGGACAAGTTGTTTAAGAAGAGTTTAAACGCATCACATAAATTATGCATGATCCCCCGTGCATAATGCATAATGTAGTGAAATTCAAACAAATTCTTCACAGCAGAAATTGTTTAATAAAGACCATGTTCCATTATTGGTCTTGTAAGTACAGGGTGTTAATAAAGTCCGATCCCATTTTTCCTGTAAAAAAGTGAAGGCTAGTATAAAAAAAAACTACCCGTGATACTTACAAAAAATGTTCGACATATTTACCTTAGTATTTGGTCTTGTTACCATTTACTTTAACCATGCCCTCAACTCTTTGTTTAAGGCTCTGTGCTAATTTTTCCAGTGTGCCTCTGGAAATCGAATTCCATACATCTTGAACTTTTTTTTACTAGCTCTTCCCTCGTCCGGGGTTGTGGCTCTTTGTATACATTTTCCTTAAGTATGGACCACTGGTTCTTCAGGGGATTCAAATCTGGGCCGTTAGCGGCCCACACCCCCTTGCTCCAGACCGTTGAAACTTGCGTCTTGATGAGACTCAAACTCGCTTTTGCTGTATGGGCTATAGCACCATCCTGCATGAAAACTATTTTTCTTTCATTCGGAAATATTTCCTTGTTCCCCATGCTATCGAAATAGATAGGTAATATTTTTTCCATATAATGCTTTGCATTGACTGATTGGCCTTTTGGTATGATATGTAGAGGGGTCACGCAACGTGCACAAAATCCACCCGCTACCATAACTTTAAGCCCGAATTTTGGGATCGCTCTTGATGGTACATCCGATTTGTTTTCTGTCCTGTAACGAACATTTTGTTGGTTCAATTTTGGATATAGTTCAATAATAGATTCGTCAGTCCAAAGGATGTGACTGCGCAATTCTTCACCAAGTCTTTTTTCACTCAAATGGGCACTTTTCTGAAGGAGTTCTTCAAATTTCAGACGGTCATCGATATATTTTTGTGACATGAGAGGTTTTTTTGGTTAGTTTGTAAGCTGTGTGACCCCACTTCGTAGTTTTCACAAATTTTTGCACGGTCACACAGTTAATTTGCTTCTTCTTCTCTTTATAGCGTTTTGAGTCATTTAACTCCCTTGCTCAATTACGTAATGAACTACCAGTTTTCTTGCAAAGTCTGTTTTTAATCATTCTTTTTGTGGTAGGTGACACCTTTCTGGGTCGCCCTGGTCGCTTTTTGTCGTGGACAAAATTTTTATTCTTCCATTTCCAAACAGTTCTGCGGCTGCAGCCCAATTTTTGCACAATTTCTGTAGGTTTAAGCCCCTGCTGATGCAATGTTTGTATCTCAACTCTAAGATGCTCATGACTTACACGTTTAGTTGTTCCTCCCATGGTAAAAATTTGAAATAAATAACTTCACTGGTTCAAAAGTTCCAGCTGAATTTGTAACAACCACGCTCCAAAAAATGCATGGGATCGGACTTTATTAACACCCTTTAGCATGACGCAAAAAAATAGAATTTCGGAGAATGTGGTGCTCATTAATCATTCAGAAAATCAATAAATGTTTCCCGAAATGCGAATTCGAAGATGAGTAAGGCAAAAAATGTGCAATCCTGGGAAGATTATCTGACTCACAATGCGAGGGACCAAGCAAAAAGGATGTGACAGGTTTTATTTTTGCTGAATGTAATCTTGTCAAATTTACTTAATCGAAATAATTCAAAATATTTAGTTAAACCAGTGTAAGTTGGGTAGAAAAATTGTTCTAAAATTTATCACATACGAGATGTACGGTCCTCATCAAGATGAGATTCCGCTTTTTGAGGGACTGCTTTCATCTCTTTGGGTGACTTCATTCTCAAGCCGACTTCTCCCGTCTCGAGAGCTAATCTGATTCTTGCTGCTAAAAAATGTGTTGTGGGGACACTTATCGGGACAAAACGAAAAATATTGCAATATTTCAAATGGTAAGGAGCATGCATATTTCATTGAGAGACTTGGGTTGTTCTTAATGCATTCTTGAAAATAATGTTAGCATTTTGAAAATTGCATGGGCTCTGAGGTCTATATTAAGTACTCTAAATTACATCCAGAGTAAAGTAAATTTGAGAAGGGATAAACTTAACTATGGATTTTGTACACTCTAAATAATTCTGAGAACGATTGTCACCCGCGCTGGTAGTAAATACGGCGCTCTATTTTTTGGGAAATGATTAAGCAGATGTTTTGTCACCAAGGGAAGCTAAGTCAAAAATCCGTGTACCAAAAAGATGTAAGCTTGTGCTAAAAAAATTAACATTTTTATTATCTGAATATGTATATGATATTTTTTTACATGAAAGTATGATTTTTTAAATAATTATGTCACGTGTGTGTGGCACACGAGTTTTCATTTATCTACATACATATATCCCCTGGTGACAACACTTCTCGCAATTATTACCAAAGAAATTGAGCACTGAATTTAGTACCTTCGCTGGTGACGATTTGTCTCCAAATTATTGAGAGTGTACTACATAAATACAGAGTAACCTTAATCATATTAATGTAACTCTGGATTTAGTAAATATTATTTACTTAATTTATAATTTATTACTTGTCCATTTACTGCTCAACAGAGGGTAACATTATTTTAAGAGTGCATTTATTCAATAGGTTTGCACCACGCTAATCAACGTGGTGTGTGCATGGTTCCTGATTTCCATTTATACGGACAAAGGGTACATGTCGAGGCGAACGGAACGTAGTAAGTTTCCGACATTTCTTTGGATTGAACAGTGGCGGCGGAAGTTGGGGGGACATATGGGAACATTAATATTGTGAGATAAGCGGAGGATGGGCTTATTCACATGTGAAGGATAGGCTTCTTCTGGGGGAACAATGTCACCCTATCCCCCAAGTTCCGCTGCCACTGGTTGTGAATAAATTAATTGATTTGTGTTGGAAATAGTTGCAGATGAGTTCGCGGGGTTGTTGGTGGGAGGACTTTTTGGCCTATTGTTAGCCATATTACTTTTCCTGGGGGCGAAACAGGTAAGAATTTCCTAAATTGAAATTGATGAATGAAATGTTACCATTATTTAGTAAAATTCGAAAGTTCGTTCTTTAATAACGACTTCACGTGCCTTTGGTGCACGAGTTATTGACTTATTTCCCCTTGGTGACAAACCGTCTCCTTGCTCATTACCTAAAAATATAGCACTTTCGTACGTACTTCCGCACGTGACGATATTTGTCACCAAATTGTTTAGAATGGAGTCATGTATTTTTGTCCTTAATTTTTTCCAGGGGAGCAGAACAAAATGTCGAATATGGCTTTGGTTTTACACTGTAACCACGTGTTTGTCACTCTGTCACGCGTTCGTTGTCATCATGCCGGCTGCCGCGGGGGACAAAACTGCACGCATTCCGACCGGAGAGTTTTTCGGGCTTGGGCTGAGTTTCTACTTTCTCCACGTCGTCGATAAGTACTCGGGTGAGTTAAGAGTGCTTCAAGAAGAATGTGTGGCTCGACGTCAAGAAGCTGGAAACACCAATGGTTTCCCTGCAGAGGAGACTGTGTGAATTTGCAATAATTTCGAAATTTATTTATCTCTATCATGTAGGTTAAAAGTAACATAATTGTGGACCGTCCACATATTACGTCATCGGAACGGTGGGTGGGGGTTTTTCTGTGCCCTATCTACATATGTACCTTACTCGTTTAAGCTTAACATAAAGGGATGAGCGGGTTGTACGCGTGCGCCGTTTTTGATAACGTAATATATGGACGTTCCCTACTTCAATAAAAAAGTCTTTTCAACCGATTTCTAACTTAACGATGATTGAGATTCGTCCGGCGGTTTATTTGATACCATATTTTCTTTGAAGCATTTAATCGTTGCCATAAACACGAATTAAATATTTGGCATCAATACATAAATTTTGTACGTATCATATAGTAGCGAAATCCAAGCAAATTTGGATGATTTTACATATCCAGTTCCATTGTCGATCTTGAGTGCAAAAAAATGATGCAAGAAATGATACGTCAGAGAAAGCGAGGTTAGTAGATTTATGTATCATCAATCATCCAAGAAATCAGTGCGTGCTTTCCCCCAAATGCTAATACAAATAGGTTAAGGCAAAAAATTTATAAGATTCTGTTACCCGGGTCGGACCGGGCCAGACGAAAATGATGTGATATATTAGAATGCGTTAATTATTTACACACTTAAGAATAATGTTATCCTTTTTAAAAGTATGCAAATCCGGTCCGAATTTTACATTACGTAAACTATGCAAAATCCCAAGCGAACTTTGCTCTTTACCTGGTCAGCGTTACCCGGAATTTACTATAGTTTACTTACTTTAAGACTCACAATGCAAGTCTTTTACGTGTACAACGCAGATCTGGTTGGGACCAATTTTATTTTGTTCATCACAAAAAATAAGCATACCCGTATTTTTTAATTTTTCTTAATGCGCTAATTTGAGCGCGAGGCGCGAATTTTAAAACATTTTTCAGCCAAAACCTCGGTTTCTTAAAACTGCAAATTTTCGAATGTTAGCGCGAATCCAAAAATTCGAAAACATGTCTCCTCAGAATGACTTACTTGACTTACGAAAAATCCTATTGTCTCAAAATGTGAATTTCAAAATTTTTTGCCAGTTTTTGAAATTCATTAAAATTATAACTCTTTCAAATTTTAAATTTTTCAAAAAATAATGCCTGTGGATTTTTTACAAGTCAAGTAAGTCATTCTGAAGAGACATGTTTTCGAATTTTTGGATTCGCGCTAAAATTCGAAAATTTACAGAATTTTAAAAAACCGAGGTTTTGGCTGAAAAATGTTTTAAAATTTCGCGCCTCGCGCTCAAATTAGGGCATTAGGAAAAATGAAAAAATACGGATGTGCTTATTTTTTGTGGTGAACAAAATAAAATTGGTCCCAACCAGATCTGAGTTGTACACGTAAAAGACTTGCATTGTAAGTGTACAATTGCTTGTCACTTTTCACCTTAATTCTCAGTTAGAAATGCTTAGTTGGGAAGTGTCAAACTAGGAAAACATATTCCAAAATTGACCCCATAATGAATGCACGATCCCCCAGAGAACAAGATTTGGCTTTCTGACAATATATCTATATTGAGAGTGCTGTCATCTCTTAAATGAGTAACGTTAACGTTCTCATTCTCATTTCGACCCTCGCGAGGACGAGGCCTCGTTCCATCTCGAAAGATACATATCAGTAAATAATCATATTCTTGTTGGTGGAAAATGTGCTGTGGGGAAACTTACCGGGACAAAACTAGACACATTGCAATCTTCCAAATTGTAAGGAATCCTAATTGTTTTCGTGGTAATGGAGGCCTCCAATTTTGACCAAACTATGTACTACTTATCAATGGATCAGAAGTTTAATCATCATGTAATTTGAAAAAACACCATCTCCCAATGAGCATAAATATGTATGTATTTGGAGAAGATATTTGCATCCGACGTTACTATTTTCTAAGCCATCTGTTTTTTTCTGGATTATACGAGTTATTGACGTCACGTTATGCACAGCAGGTGCATGCAAATTAAGTAGATCAGAATTATTTTTTACTACAATACATTCAACAGATTGCGAATTTTCATTGACAAAAATTGTAATTTTCCATATTGCCTGAATTTTTTTGGTAAGTTTGCTAAATGTACTTGTTACTTTATTAACACTGCAATACAACAACCTGTGAAATTTCGACAATGGCAAAAGAAAAATGCCACGTTAGCTGATTTTTTTGTTAAACGTAATTTATTTATGATTTTCACCTGGTCTATTATTCAAGGCAGAATAGTGAACAGCTTTTCCATCAGCCATACTTATTAGAAATCAGGAGTGCAAACTACTTAAAATTCCATTAATAATGTAATAAAATTCCATTATAATTTCAGTATGTCACTTGACGTCAAAGTTGTCATTGTTGCGCTGTGTATAAAATTGGGTCAAAAATGAAAATTATGAATCAGTTTGAAGCAATCTCTCTTTTCCAAAGTGTACTTTGGAAATTTTGAAATTTTGGTTACAATCATGTCGAAATTTTCTGCGATTATCGTGATCATTTCTTGCTTGTGTATTTCCCACGTGTCTTTGGCTCCAGTTGGTAATTTGTAAATTTAATAAAACAAAATAATTATTTATGCTCTCCGATTTTAGCGAAATTTGAGTCGGTCGATCCTAAATTTAATTGGTATGAAATTTGGTAGAGGCACGATTGATCAACTTTGGTAAAAATTCATATTTGGATCCCAAGAGGAGAAACTCCCCTAACTTAAAAAAGTTTAACACTTTCTAAATTTATTGCGCATATATATTTTCCCCTCTTAGGATACAAATAGGTCGTCTCTTGTTCAAATTTCATCTAATTAAATGTGTGACCAATTGACACTAATTTGGTCAAAATTGCAGAGCATACGTACATTCATCCATTGTTAACCTAATTTATTTATTATCTTGCAGATCACGATGGAAATGAAAAGTTGCTGAATTTCAACATCAACGCGTTCCAGCTCAACCCAAACACGAATTGTCAGATAAGTAGCTTCTGCCAGTCCTTCTGCACCAAGTGGAATTTGGTCGCTACTTGTCCCACGTCAGGACCTTCATCTTCCGATTGCAACTGTAATTTTGCCAGTCTTGGATGAAAAACGAATTTTGGGTTGAAATATATACGTAGATCAGGCATGAATTAAAAACAAGTAGAACGAAATTTGTAATTTAAATGCTGATATAAACTTCGCATTTGCATCAAAACATTCTTATTGACTAATTATTTTCTTACTTCAGATAATTGCATTATGTGTTGTACCTCATGAATAGATGAATTAATCAAATCTTCACTAAGGCAAATTTTCGGTGTATTTACAACAAGTTATGAATGAATGTGGGTTCCAAAAGGTCATAAAATTATATAATGTTCTAAAATTGTCTGAGTTTAAATATTTATGTTTGAATAAAATGAACATAGCCATTTGCTTGAAATGGTTTATCAAATGGTTTATCAAATCTTACTCCTTTCAATATGAAAACCGCATTCCGAACCAATCGATGACACAGATAAGACAACGATATAAATGCGAAAATTGTAATTTTCCATTGACCAGATTGATATTTATGTACCTTTATCTGGTGTCACGCGTCCGTCCAAATTACTTTAAGATCCATAAGCTTCTTGGCACAAACTCTAGTTTGTGTGGCTCACTAACCTTGAGCTACTCTTAGCCGACGTGGATATTTCTTAATTGCTTGTTGTTTATCCCATCTGCTATCTTAGAATCAGTAAAGGTTGACTTGACTTAATTAAGAAATTTAAAGCATTTTCACCGCACCAAGTTAGCGAGGCTATGGATTTGTTCTTCATCGAGTATATTCCGCAGACAGAAGCTTGAATTTAATACGCCGTTTGCATATTGTAATGCATGACTTTCTGGTATGTATGTATGTATTATCTTGTTAATGAACATATTCTACTGGAAATCAGATTCTCTTATTAAATCATTATTCTGTCGGACAGTTGAAGCCACGAAATATTGTCCTTGCCCGAAAGTATGCATTTATTAACCTATTTAATTTCCATTAATAGAACGATCCCTGTAGATATTCGCTGCAGTCTTAGCCGCCTAGCAAAGAAGACAGTAATCACTGTGTTAAAATTCATTTTTGAATACGCATGTATGTATAAAATACACACTAAAATCATAAACTTTTGTATTTGTGCATAAATAAACATTATGTATCTGACATTTTGAGTTGAATATCAGGGTATTAAAACTATTTACGTATGTATCTGGGTAATAATTTCTATTGGAAGTTTTCATTATTTTATTGGGTGTGGTAATTACCGGTTAGTTCCGCTCGAAACCCTGACAAACTTTGAGCTTCCGGGTCAAATGAGCATAAATCTGTCTCGATAAATATAATGTACACCACCCTGTTTTCTCCCTTTCTAAAGCGACACTTAGCCCTTTGTAGCTATTTGAAAACTTTCCCGTATGATTTCAATCCGGAAACACGACGTCTGTTTAAAGTGACAGATGGAGAATGTGGTATGCGCCATCGGTTGATGTGCCTCATAATTTTGGCATATATGTCGACACTCTTGCTTGGCCTGATAATGGGCAACCATTCTGCGGCAGCTAGGATAATTGGGATAGTCTTCTTCATGACGTACTGTTTACCTGTGGGGCAATGGAATTACAACTTGGAAATGACCCCCGTACAAGTACTTAATGCTTTTATGGACTTTGAAACCAAGGTTTTGAAAGGTACTTCTCACAAATATGGCAGATATACCATTTTTATTTTTTATAATTCAGAGATCTTGGTAAAATGTTATTTAAGAGTTATCGCTTTACACTTTGCATTACGTCTACTAAACAAATCGTTTTGCTACATAATCCATTTTTTAATATTATTTGATCTTTATGATAACGTCCGATCTGCTCTGAGGACCGCAGATATTAAACATATCTAGAAACAGGGTTCAACATAGTTTTAAGAAAGGTTTTATGTAGTAAGTGAGAAGTATTTTTATCAACTGTTTCATTATTGCAGATCGTGAAAATATGAAAATGTCACTTTTGGCGAGAGCAATGGCGTTATTCATGCATGTGGCTCACTTCAGTGTGATTGCTGTTCCCATGGCAGCATTCGCCCTTATACTGGTAAGACCATGCACGCCGCCGTTCCTCTTATCACTCTCCAACCAGTGTGAAGGAATAGTATGGTACGGACCTGCGATCATTATTCCCTTGTTCGAACTTTGGATCGGCTTACAATTCTTCATTACTGGAACTGTGTGGAGTTTTTTTGGGATTTTTGTCAGCGTCGTAACATTGCAGACCTACTTCCGGATTCTTAACAGGTATGAATCAACGAAAATCTGTATGACTAAAATTTTGCACAAAATTGTTCTAAATACAAATTAGGTGCAGGGTATGCTACCCCGGGTTTATGGGGTTTTGGGGTAGCAAATTTGAGCAATGCCCACGGGTAGTCGGGGTAGTCGGGGTTTTCAAATTTTACAAAATATGATAACAGGGCATTACTAGCAGTTCAACAAATTAACTACCTATTAAAATATAATTAATTAAAAGTTTTGTTGCGAAATTACTGAATAACTGATTTTGTTCATTAATTTCTGAACATCATACATGAAACACTGACTCAGTTTGCCCCGACTACCCGCAAAGCCCAGGTAAAACCCCCGGTTATGGGTTTTCAATAGCAAAACCCCGGGGTTCTCCTTACCCTGATTGGATCAGCCATGTTAAGTAATCGGAAAAACGAGCAAGGCGTCTAGAATGGTCGTATTCAGTTTTTGCTCACCTGCATTACGACGACAAATATATTATTCTTATAATTGAAAGATTTAGCGCTTTCCACTAAAACCTCCAAATTAAAATATTTACTGTAACAACTTTTAACTAATTTAACCTAATTTCAGTCAAATCCTGGCCTCCGTTAGTCTTGACGATGTAAACCAGGTTATTCAAAAATACCGAGGAATACAGGTATTGGAAAAGCATCTTAACGAGTGGCTAAAGCCAGTACTTGTACCTTCTCTCATTACACTCGCTCCATCACTCCAAATTCTTTCTCAGTATGTCTGCATACAGATGCATAATGATATCCCCATGCCTGGCTTTCTTGTTGTGCCCCTTATTGTACAGAACACCATAATCGTCAACATCCTCGTCTTCACCTTGGCGTCATACGTATTCAGTTCTTCAGCCAGGGTAATGCAAAATATTAAACGGAGAATTCGGAAAGAACCGCGAAGATCAACTATCAAGAAAGATCTGAAAGCATGTTCCATTATGAAGATCAAGTTTGGAACAAATTTCGTCGACAGAGGGACTCCATTAGTAATCCAGGATTTTTGCTTAAGCCAGACCATGCAACTTCTACTGATAAAGAGGGGAACACGCTAAGCAATAGTGCAGAATAGATACACACAATTATCTCCATAAGTATTACAAGTACATATGAACACCTATGGTTCCCGCTGACACGTCGATGTTAGTATAATTTATGAACCTAGACGTATATTTGACGATGACAGATAAAAAAAAACTTAGCTGCTTTTTGCATAGATAACTTAACTACCCCACCATGTCATTAAAATAATAAAAATGTGTGCGAATTAATGGGAATATTCGTTATGAAGTGTAGAGAATGTTTAATGATAAATAAGTGACGGATTAAGAATTAATTGCACATGTGCCATTTAATAAATCCAACGTTGGCTAGGTAAGAAGTTTATGTCCTTATACATAAGCATTTGCACGTAGTTTTTTGAATATTAAATAAATATAAAAATTGCAAAACTTGTCGATATAAATTTATTTCATTCGGTGAACCACCACCATTCTCAGAGGTATGCTAACTACGGCCATGACTCGTCATTGATTCTATCAGTAACTTTATCACACGATGAATTAATTAAAAATATTTCTGGTAACTTACAAGACCCGTTGCTCCTATCTGGACCGGACAAAAAGTCCTCTTTTGTGGGCAGGAAGGATCGTGCACGCGCTCTTCCCTACTTTTGCACGGAGTCATGTGAAATTTTAAACTTTGTCCTAGAGATGCGAAATTTGGCATGCACATGCACCAACATATGCTGCATCATAATATAACATCAATTCCCGTTCCGTTCGCTATAAATTTTTCAGGAAAAATCAAAAACCAAATGTCACCACTATTCCGTTTGATTTTTGATTTTTCCTGAAAAATTCATAGCGAACGGAACGGGAATTGATGTTATATTATGATGCAGCATATGTTGGTGCATGTGCATGCCAAATTTCGCATCTCTAGGACAAAGTTTAAAATTTCACATGACTCCGTGCAAAAGTAGGGAAGAGCGCGTGCACGATCCTTCCTGCCCACAAAAGAGGACTTTTTGTCCGATCTAGAACCGAGCAACGGGTCTGTACCAAAACAAAAGAACCCAAAACACGCGTCAAGGGCAAAACAGAATGCATCAAAAAACCTAAGATATGTATGTAACATTTCAGCACCCACGTAAAATATTTCCCGAATAATTTAAAAGTATGTTTTACTAGGTACATTAAATAACATATCTTGTTCACACTCAGACACCATATTATGTAGTTGATCGCATTTTATGTTATCTAAATTGATTATATCTAGTTCACAATAACACAAAAAATATTTTCAACACAAAATCTGATAAGGTTTAAGTACATAAAATTGTAAATGGAAATATTGAAAATACCTTCACTATTGAAATTCAAAATTTGTTTATTGATTTTATCAGAGAACTATATACGATACGCAATTCATAATTTTCCTTGAATGAAGTTTGGTTTGCCTGCTTATCACAAGTAGTTGTAGTTTTGCCACGTGTAATACGCTGGGTTGAAGGTCTGGTTGGTTGGTATTTGCCAAAACTCGTCAATGCTATCGCGTCCTTGTTGCGGTACTTGGGACATGACGGACCACGCCCCCTTCTCGTTTATGCAATTCGACAACATAAACCCAGTTCCGGTTCCGGTCGTGTCGGAGATATGGTCCGTCCATGAAATCACGGCGTCCCATCGTTCTATAAAAATCAAATACAAAACCAAAATTTTGGTTAGAGAAAATTGGAAAATGATTTTGATAAAATGCATATGGTAAAAATGAACAATAATTTGGGAACGTTCGTATATTACGTGATAAGAAAAACCGATTTTTAGACCACTTAACCGCCTTTATCCTACTCTTGTGAAGCATTACACGAGCAAGACAGATGACCGAAAACCCACAATTTTGCTGACGTAATATTTGAACGCTCCTTTCCCACAAGTCAAAATCACTTTATTTCTAACGACGTTTTACATAAAAACTAACTTGACTAAAACTTACGCAAGTATGATGGGCGTGTCCCCTTCGAGCAGAATGGGGTGTCGATTATCTGAGGAAGACAGAGCGGATGCGGGTGGCATGAAAACCGGGCAAATTCTTGAATTAAGGTGGGTAGCGTCGGGTACAAGACTGCCACCTGGTGGAGAGCGGTCTCAATCGAGTCCCAATCCAGAATAGGGAGTGCCTTCAAAGTCGACGTGATGACGTTCCAAAGCCCTTGAACTGTGAGTGCGCGTGGGGTGCAGATTAAATGGATATATTTCGCGCCATCGTCAATTTTAACGGTCATGTCGTCCAGGGTGAAATCCACATTTGTGAACATGCCTTCAATCGTGGCTTGGTCGGGGGCACAGCGGCCGGAGAGGCACTCGTAAATGGAGCGGTACGTGAACTGATTTCCGTTCGAGAGGAAGTAAGAGCGCGGCGTCAGAACCTGGAAACAGACAAATTGAGATTTAACGGTTACGAGAAACATCAGACTGTAAACACCCCTCCCTCTGGTCCACGGCTATTTGACGATCTGATAGAGGACAGTTAAATTTAATATATTACGTGTACAATTAAGCACAAACAAACATGACAAACAGTGATAACATTAGAATCTTTGAAAAGTCGCAATATGTAGGGTGATTGCAAACTAAGGGTTTTAAAAGTAAATTCTCACGTAAACGCTAAGTTACTCATTATTCTGCACAATTATGCATGTGGTTAGCGTTTTCGTGTTAATTAGCTAAAACCTTTATTTCCCAATCTCCCTAATGTCACTCGGCTTGTTTTGGGGCATATTTACAATGATTTAAGAACTGATTATTATCCATTGTATATTGTTTAAATTTGAAAATTTCGTACCATGCAACTACATAAATTATTTGGTAACGAGTTGAAAAAAATCGTTTTAGCTGGACAAATTTGTGTTAGCTTTTGTTGAAAATATGAGTTTCAGGTCGACAAGGTCTAACTTACCCATGCCAGATCTCGGATGGTTGCAAATCTGTAGGAAACATTGGCCGCGGCGTCGATACCTGCACCTGGACAAATTGTGGCCGTCGTTTCGATTACAGTATTACTGCAGAGGGATGCCTCCCCCCCAGTGAGACAGGCTGGAAGGAAAATACCCCCTAAAACAAGAAGTTTCTCCATCTTTGTTGGACTGGGAACAAGAGGGAATTTTAGATTGAGATCAAGCTTAAACAACTCCGGTTATAAATAGTCGGTCAAGCTGACTCAGATCAATAGTTGGGCATCAATTTTGATAAGCTACACGCGCATTTGGTACCTAAATACTTCACAGTAATGGAAGAGATTAGTCGATAAGTACAAAAAAGGTGCATGTGCAACCCTTGATATGAGTGCCGTTAATTGATCTGTATCCAGTTCACTGTCCTCTGGACATTGGCTCCTGTAATTGCTTATAAATCTCCTTGTACATTATGCAGTCTAGCCATAACAAAGTACTTGATTTTTGCTCCACAAACAAAACACTTATCATTTTGAGACCGAGTCATACTGAGAATTTATGTTCCCAGTTTCTTACATATACATAATTGTTTGAACTTGATTAAGTGTACATAAATTTAGCCCAAAAAGCGTTGTTAATTGTACCGTGTGCAAAATTTGCATTTTGGCCTTTGCACTTGGAGAACACTCGCAAATCTAAGTAGAAGAGTTACCACGTGGATGCTACATATATAAAAGCTGACACTTACCAAGTCAGGCAGGGCATTACCTGCATGCTTTGAAACCAAATGCGTACGCACAAAACCATGGAAATCATAATTTTGGCATTATTCCTCATCCTGGAGGTCACCTTTGGGGCACCGTTGGAAAATGGGAAACATATATTTCGAGATCCAAGTATGTAAGATGATAACATCTTTGTTTTATGCAAATTTAAAAATTTGATTTATATTTATGCATTTACGTAGTTGCTCCTGGCTACGTGAAATTTGGGGACATGATTTTACCCGAGAATTTCACTATGGACGGAAGAAATGCAATTCCCTACGACCAATTTAGGTGGCCCCTGGGAGAATTACCCTACGTAATTGATCCATCCGTTTGTAAGAAAGTCTCCTTTAATATTTCGCATGATATGTCTCCATTATATCTAGTTAGTACTGCACTCTTAGAAATGGGGTTACGATTATAACCAAAAAGTAAACGCATGTGACTCTACCGCCCTGCTTATAAATTTGTCATCGAGTGGTTACAATTGTCGCTGACTAATTATAAAGCTTCGCCGACTTGGTATTAAATTGTCGCCAGAGTTTAAATAAATTTTAATTTATACCCTGTTGGTGATAAATTCATAACCACGGCGGGAGAGTCATATAAATACGTTTACTTTTTGGTTATAATCGTAATCCCATTTCTAAGAGTGTATACATACTTATGTACATTATCCGTATTTTTTCTGCAGCCAGCTACACAAACTTGATAAGCCAAGCCTTTCAAGAATACCACGCAAAAACGTGCATCCGATTTGTACCCAAACAAAGTTCTCAAAGGAACTATATCAGAATCTTTGCTGGACAGGGGTGCTACTCTAATGTTGGGATGATAAATCAAGGGGAACAACCAGTTAGTCTGGGGCAAGGGTGCATGATCAAGGGAACTGTGGTTCACGAACTCGGCCACGCGATTGGGTTCTTTCACGAGCAGAACAGGTCGGACCGAGACGAAAATTTGGTCATTTACTGGGCGAATATCCAAACAGGTTTGGGATGTTTGTGTTTTAAATATTATTCACTCTTAGAAATGTGCTATATTACGGCGTTGACTTCGAGGTATTAGATTAAAATGGCTACCGTTTAGCATTAACTGAGGGTACATATATTAATTAATCACGATTAATTATTGCGATTAATTAATCGTGATTAACTGAATAAGAATTTACACTTAGGGTTAATACATAGTGGGGTCATAAGTTCCCGTGAATGCATTTCCGGTGATAAATATCAAAGTATTAGAGCTATCTGTTCGAAATTTTTATGGATTAACAAGGTATTAATATTGTTTAGAAATCATAACTTCTTTTTCAAGATTTCGTCCAAGGGCTTTTAGATAAGACATAACTCGTGAGGCCACTGCTCGATCGTGGTACGCGCCAATTTTCGTGCCAAAAGTATTTCAGACTTTTCAGCGTTGGCGAAAAATTTAATAGAAGAAATGGCCAGATATTTGTTCTACGGAAGACTGACATCCGTTTAAGTATGCAGAAGTCAATACGAAGTCATCACCATGGTGTGAATGGGAGCAAGTTGCCTGGAGAAAGGAAATCTCTGTTTTTTATCGCAAAGGGTAAAAGTTGGAGCCAAGAATTATTTTCAGAGTGTCCTAGAGCCAAACGTTAATAATCTGTACCCTGGACCCTCCGAAAATCAACATTGGACCTTTCAATAAGACTAAGCTCCTGCGCAAGGTCCAAAATTGTCCAAAACTTGCTTCAGACGAATTTTCATGACTTTTTTTATCCGTATAACGATGCTCAGCATCTGCAGACCTTCATGCTCTAAATTATGACTGGTGATCAAAATAATAGATATAGATATGCTCTAAATCTCACCCAAGTGTGCAAGGCCTGAGGTCACACTTACTTAAGATCTGGGCGCTTTTCCCACGAAATCCGCGCGTGCCGCGATCGAGCAGTTTCCGCCACGACTTATGCGTTGTGTACAAGCCCGAGGAGGAAATTGTGAAAAAGAAGTTATGATTTATAAACAATATTAATACCTTGTTCATCCACAAAAATTTCTATCAGATAGCTTTAGTACTTTGCAATCTATCACCGGAAATGCATTCACGAGAACTTATGGTTGGACTGTGTAATCCTTAATCCAAACCTAAATTAATCTGGAATTAATTTTTGATCTCGAAGAAGCCTGACTAAATTACATACAAATCCTGCAGACCATGATTAGATTAAATTGATTGCTATCACCAAACGCAACAAAATACGTAAAAAATGAGGCTAATCCTGCATCAAGAATTAATCAAGATTGATTAATTCTTACTGCGTACCCCCGAATTCAATAGCATAATGAATTAGTCTTTAACATTAATCCCAACAGCTGGAATTATTTAATTAATCCTGGTGTAATCTAATCCCGAAGAAAAATTAATCCTTGTTCAATCTTTAATCCAACAACAGAAATCATTAATCAAGTGTCTCTATGGGTCTCTAAAAATTTGATACGACATGGGAAAGCTTAAATATTGAGCTTTTACCAGCTGGTATTACTTTTCAATACCACCTTGTCATAATGTATATTAACACGGCTTGGTATTATCTTCATACCGGACTTCTAGGAGTTCAGTACGACATACGAATTAATGAATATTATCTCTTTAATTCGCAATTACAGGGATGGAGTCTCAGTTTGCTAAGCTCGCACCAAACCCGAATCTACTTATCAACCCCTTCGATTATAGCAGTGTCATGCTGTATGGAGAGACGGCTTTTTCAATGGATGGCCGTTCCAACACGATGCTTTCAAAAGCGGGGAGTAAGTTGTATGAAGTGTATGATAAACCCGCCCTGGTTGAAATTATTGGTCGTTTTCTGCAGGAAATGGTAAGCCGAATCCTGCAGAAAAAATGTGCCTAAAATTGGCCGAATTTTGTGCAGAACAAATTATGCATATCTATTTTATGCAGAATTTATTGTGCGGCGTTTATGCATAATATATTGTGGAGGGTTTATGCATAATTTATTGCGAGGGGTTTATGCAGAAAGTTTTGTGCATTATAAATCATGGGTGAATTGGCTCGCTTTTATGCATAAATTACGATTCGTGTACTACAATTAAAAGTCATATTTATTTTAACGTTTAATAAATATAATTATATAATTGCTTTAAATATTATTGATACCAGGTCCACGGCGTGCCTTGCGATACTCTTCTCGCATAAAGTCGGATAGTGACTTCGTGACTTCACGCTTCAGTGCACGTTTCTTCTTGCTCCACAATTTAGCCTCGGCTCTGGTGCAGTTATCTGGAGGATTTTCTACTCCTTCGCTTTTTAGAACACAATCTAGGAAGTTCGAAAAACAAAGATGTTTTAGTTATACTTTGGCATTCTATAGTTCCCTAAAAACTCCGTAAAAATATAATATTATGAAGATAATAAACCTCAGCACTTACTCATTATGGCGTCGCGCCTGATATTATCGATTGCCGGAAGTGAGGCAGAGTCTCTGTTGGCGTTGCATGTTTTCCCGAGCAACGAATGTGTGGAAAGCTCTTCCGTAGAAAAAAATCGACGGAAAAGATTTCGCGCCAATACTGTTGGTTGATGTGAGACCATTTTTATTGATGTCATTTCTCCAACTGTGATCTTTACACCGGTTCCAGGATAGATCTCCACCTAATAATAACTCAACAGATCATTGCATTACTCTAGAATATACATGTACAACTTAGCTAACCTCGTCCAGACCCGCTCCAGAATTACGAAGCTCTCTGTGCCTGATTTTGAGATTCTTATACTTTTGCTTCAGTGTTCGATACTTTTCTATTTATGAAATTAAAAGAGTTACATAATTATGATTAACGGCCTGCAGAAAATACGTATTACAGGTGTTAATTACCTTCGTAATCTATTGTGCTCACTTCCGGTGTAGGATTATTCTCTCCAATATTTATCTGTAGCTGTGAATTGTTCTGTACAGGCGACGTAGAACATTCAGCCACGTTGCCCAGAATTTCCCTAATATCTCGAGCCCTCTCCTCAGCCATACATGACTTTTTATTTCTCTTCAATCTGACAGCTGTATAATTTATTCAAACAATCTTTTAGAGTTACTTCGATACAATCAATTAAATATGTCAATATGTTACCCTTTGGACCGTCTTCAGCTTTCTTTGAACACGTTTGTTCAATTTCACTTGCTGCATCCTGGGCTAGTTGGTCAGCTTTCAGACTTAACGGACTAGCATCTCCTACATAAAGACAGTAATAATTAACTAATACACATTTTAGAGATAAATAGTGACAGAAAGCAATTATTGTTGACTTCCGGCTATTAAATGGCTATGTTTAGTTTAAGCACCTTAATATAACGAAACTTACCAATTGCCAATATAGTTCCAGAGTAAACTCGCTTCCCGAAACGTAGGTCGTGACTTTCTCCAATGAGGTTTTTGCTCTTGGATCTTAATGTTCCGTCAACCAAGCTCTCGCACGGGACTACCGAGTATGTTTTAGGTTCCTTAACCCATTCTACTAAGAAGCAACTCATACTTTTTCATGAAAATATCAAAAAGTTATAAAAATAGCAAAAAGCTTGGATAAAAGAGGTATTTAAATGTTAAATGCTGAATCACTAAATACACGAATAATTCCACGCCGTCCCAATTCGACTCTCCCGCTACCCAATTTCTGATGACACTGAGACTTCGCACACTTTCTTTCCTTAATAATATAAAGTTGTCAAGATGTCACAAAATACAAATTATAAAAGTTATTTCCGGTCCTCAACTTCTGAGGGTGGATTTCAAATTCCAAGCAGAACTTCTCGACGCCACATGTCCCACGTAATAGTTGTTCTTTGTCTTCTTTTTAAGTATTTTCCTCCAATTTGTTTTTGAGAAAATATTTATACACATTTTATATAGGATGCAAGGAACGCAACAAAGAGAAGTAGACCGGATCCAACATTGGATATACCACAAAATGACGACACCGATTTGAGACCCCATTGTCAAATAATGATGAATATGGCGACGAGCAAAATTTACACATTTCGGACGACGACACCGATGACTTGAGCGATACCGAATATTCATTCCAAGTGATTTTTAACAACTTTTTCCTCCGATAATAAATCAATTAACGAACTTATATTTTTTTAAGAATTCAAGATCTACTCAAGTTCCATTATTTGAAGGAGCAAAACTGACTGAGTTGGAAAGTAGTTTGATGATTATTGGATTTACACTTCGCCATCAACTATCTAAATCTGCTACGATGGACTTACTAACTTTATTGAATTTTCATTTGCCCCCTGGAAGTACTGTTCCCACGTCAAGCTATCTTCTAGAAAAGTCGCTCGGAATCGACCTCAACCTCACGGAGAAACATTATCTGTGTGAAAATTGCGAAATCAAGATAGCTTCGGTGCAAGAAATGTGATGCGCGTTATACATCAACGTACTTAAAGAAAAATTCAAAATACTTTTTCGTTTTTGATCTGAGGTCCCAAATTCAATCCCTCCTTCGACATGAGAACGTGAGACATTCAATATGTAAAGGGTTTGACAGACGAAGCGAGATAGATGTGCAAGATATTCGTGACATCATGGACGGATCAGCTTACAAAAAATTGGGATTATCTGAACAAGATATTAGCTGCTGCATAAACACAGATGGCGTAGCGATTTTTAATTCAGCAAAGTTCAGTGTGTGGCCTCTACTTATTTCTATTAATGGATTGGATTATAAGTTACGAAGACAACACATAATACTTGCGGGGATATGGTTTGGAGAAGCTAAGCCAAACTTTGACACATTTCTTGAAGTATTTGTAAATCAATGCAAAGAATTATCTGTAAATGGGATCACATGGGATTTCAATAATGTTTCTACCAACAGTAAAGTTTATTTTCCAATGTTTGCTGCAGACTCTGTTGCAAGATGTCAGATTCAATGCATCAATCAGTTTAACGGAGAATTTAGCTGTCCATGGTGCCTAATAAAAGGCGAAACATATTGGATTGACGACAGGAAGCATAAGTGGATATTTGACCCTCTTGACAAAACTCAAGTCCGAAACCATAGTCAGTTTATCAATCACCTACGTATTCTGCAGGGCGACCTTCAAAGTGGGAAAAATACAACCTCAGTTTTTGGAATCAAGTCAGCATCGCGACTGATGCTATTGCCCAAATTTGATATGGTGGAAGGATTTGTATTTGATTATATGCACACATGTTTGCTTGGAGTCGTACGGACCTTAACATGTGCCTGGCTGGACTCCAAGCGTCATGGCGAATTATACTACATTGGGAACAAGCAGGAAGAAATTAATTCGCGAATTCGACATTGTAAGTTTCCGGTGGAATGCCAGCGAGTTCTTCGAGAGCTTAAGGATGTGGCGTATTGGAAAGCTCAAGAGTGGAAATTGTGGATGATTATGGCCGTGCCATTATTAAAAGGAATTTTAAATGATTGTTACTTAAAACATTTTTCTAAATTTGCAAGGGCAATTTACATTCTGGCTCAAAATATAATTAGTGCTGTAAACTTAGAGGAATCTGCAAAATTAATTCATGATTTTTGTATTCTTATACCTAATTTGTACGACAGGTCCTTTTGTACTTACAATATTCATTTACTTTCTCACGCAGTTGATTGTGATAAACAATGGGGACCACTTTGGGCATATTCATTATTTCAGTTCGAAAATTATAACGGTGTCCTGAACAGTTATTTTTCAGGAACTACCTATATAGGTCTACAAATTGCAAAAAAGGATTACATGACTCGGTCAATTTTTTTATTGGGTTAACAATCGTTCGAACGTCATGCGCCATCCTACGATTTCTTCCATTCTCTCACTGAAAGAAAAAAATTCTACGCGAAATCTCTAAAATTGGGTTCATGCACGTTACTGGGTGCCAAGCAGTTGTACACTTTTAATTCTCAGGAAAAGAAGGAATTGTTAAAATTAGGGATTGTTTGCAATGACGGGTTTTCTTATGACTTATGCATATTGCGTGGCAACGTGTTTTCCTCAAGTAAGCGTGATACATCTGAAAGAGTGAACTCAATTGTTAAAATTGGATCTAACTTATATGTAATACATCAATTATTTGAGGTACCTAATTTTAGAGCTGCAGTTATTTTTGTTAAAAAACTCAGTACTATCCCATATAAAATGTTCTCAATATCCCATAAGGTACTGCAGGTTAATGACATTTTAAAAGCATTTGAAATCGATGTAATTGAAAATGTTAAATTTTGTACATATTATAATATAAACTCCTCGCTAAATGTTGTCATTCCTCTCCCCAATACAATAGAATGTGAATAAATTATTCCTTGATAAAATAGTCATTGAATGTTTTCAAGTTCGGCATGACCCATACATAATTATTTACTAATATGTCGTGGAAAATGTGCACAATTACAGGTACATATTTCTGCATAGCGAATTCGGCATAAATTCAATGCATAATTATTCTTATAACTTTCTGCACAAATTGGCCGGCATGATTGCTTAGTCAAATTGTGCATAACCCTGCATCTAATGTTATGCATAACTATTTATGCATAGGAGTTGTGGTTACTCCTGCAGAATTCGGCACAAAGATTTCAACCAGGGCGGTCTCTCCAACTCGGACGTCCAACGCATACGTAAAATGTACGGTTGCTAATTTAAATTGGTTACTGAATAAAATTAATTATCACCTTGGTATCGAAAGGATTAGTCGCACAAATATTTCGTTGATATTATTGATTCGTTATTAATACAAAAAACATTTTACCACATCACCTACATAATAATGACAATGTAAATACGTGGTCTTATGTGGGTGACTAACTTCAGAGAAACCGTTACATAGTGTGTGCAGTGTTGTCGCAAAACTAAAAACGCTCTTACACGTGTTCAATAGAATCAAAACCTATCCGTACAGCTTTGCTTAGCCCGAACCAGGGATTGTAAACCCATATTTATCAGTAGTTTTCTATAAAATTATGTGCCACTATTTTATACTAATTTTTGCATTAACTAGCATCAATCTTTCGTACTACTAGGCTCCAAATTCTAAAAATATTTACTATCCATTGTCTTTGACTATTTCCCAATGGGAGTCGCCTCTATTGCCCCTCTGGTTAATTTTTTTCATATTTAACTTTATATTATTTCATGAGAAAGCCGTAAGGATCTCTGGTCCAAATTTCAGCTTTCTATGTTAATTTATAAAAATCGGTATGGGTCACCCCATAGGGTCGCTCTACATAAAAATTTTACCAATTTCATGTCATATTCTTCCATTAAGACCCATAAGCAACCTCTCCACCAAATTTCAGCTCAATATGACGATTTTGAAAAATCAGTATGGGTCACCCCCTAGGGTCACTCCAGATGAAAATTTTCCCAACTTGAACTCATTTTTATCTATTACCAGCCATTAGCAACCTTT